GTGTTTTAGCTGATTCAAGCAGGAATCGTGAGTGACAGTGGTTTTCCTCATTGTGACTGCCCTGCATGTGAAATATGCTACCATCTTCCTGCCTTGGCTTTTCTAGCCCAGGGACAGAGACTCTCTGAAAAACCCTGCTGTGCCTGGAAGTGGCCGCTTAGCTTTGGTCCATCTGTCCAACAAAAATCTAAGGAGTTGTTCAGTCAGGCTGCTTTGGGGACATGAGGACCTCGGGCAGATGTCCATGGGCTGCCTTGTACACATGCCCAGAGCTCATCCTGCCTCAGTTTTCCACAGCCTGGGCCCAGACTTGTAAGTAAAGCACATGGCACGGTGAATGGTGTACAGGTCTGCCTTGCATTCTGTGTGCACCCAGCCCTCCCAGGTGCAGGGTCCCCTGAGGGTCGTCACTCAGGATGTGTAGTTTGGGTCTGGGCAGCATATACTTACGTGCTGCGTTCTCCCAGCTCCATGTCTCTTGGGGTCTGCTATTTGTCCTATCTCAGTTTCAGTTCACATAGGGATCAGCTGTATCTGTTGTGGTACACACCCCCCCTCCGATGCCAAGGATACAGTTCTCTCCTTGAAGCTATAGAATATGTGTCTTAGGCTGCTGGGGTGTGCAGAAAACTTGGGTGCTTTGAAAGCAGTGCATTTTCATGCCTGGAGATCTTTTCTAGAAAGGTCTATCAAGGTATTGAATAACCTGCAGGTGTCTGTCTGAGCTTGAGGCAGCTGACTGCTTTCAGACGCATGCAAAACAGCCTGAAAACTGCCAGTGAGTGCACACCTCCCCCAGGTAAACAGTGGTGTATTTTCTGCAACGGACGAAGACGGAGATCAGTCAGAACTCACCGCTAAAGTTTCTAGGTAAAAGTTGTTGATTTGCAAAGAGAGAAACAGATTTTTTTTTTTTAAGTGCAGGAAACGGCTGTGTGGGCGTCAGTGATTGGGCTGCCTGAGATAGCGGAATCCTGACGGGCCCCACCCTGCCACTTCCTGCCAGTGCTGCCCTGCGGCTCCCAGCAGAGCCTGCCCGCTGCCCCAGCGGCACCCACTCACCAGCCTGTCACCTTTAACCTCTCCCCAAGTTAATGATCATCTTTATTACTACTCATGACCTCTCCTCTACAAGGCCAGGCACATGATAGGGATAAGGTCATAGTAGCTTTTTGCCACCACATAGTAGCTTTTTTCCCCACAATGCCACCAGCAGTACACTTACATTAGCAAATATCTCTCAAGCCACATGAGAATGGTCTGGACTTGTATTGAATTTGATGCCCTTTCCAAAGCAGAAGCAAAAAGTCACTTCTTTTAAAAAAAAAAAATCACTTCTGCCGTGACAGACACATCCTCTTCCCACCCGTGTGAGATCTATGCAGAGTGGCATGAGTTCCTCGCAGGGTCACTGTGGTCTGCAGGGTACAGACGCAGGGAATGTTCTAGGACTGTAAGCATTCCACTCTAGTGTGCTCTCAACCCTCCTGTGAGGTCCCAGGCCAACAACAGAACCTGCGTGTCTGGGCCCTAACACTGGCCATACTGTGCGCAAGCCTCTTGTTGCTGCGTATTGTCAAATGGCATCGCCATCTGAGCCTGTGGTTAGCACCTCTGCCCTGAATGTAACTACTTTAATTCCGTTCCCACGATGGTGGCAAAGAGATAATGCAGCGGGTACACTAGAGAGTTTAGAATGGGACACACTTATTCCATTTCAGGAAGATGCTGGCATTTACTAGCCAGCCAGGATGGGCAGAAGGCACCCAAGCAGCCTGAGACACCTAAACTGGTGGAGCACCATCACCCCCATTTTGCCCTCACTCACTGTACCCATTGCCCTGCTGTTGTCAGGGTAGCCCTGGAGGATCTGTCTTGGAGTCCGTTCTAACCAGTGCCTGTGCAGATGCAGGCTGAGGAGGCACCCATATTCTGAAAGGGCTGCTTCCCAGGCTATGGGTTAATTCATGCTTCTCCAGCTGGTTGCAGTAACCCTGCAATTCCTGTTCTGCAGAGTTAGCAGAACAGTTTGAAATAGAAGTATTTGCCTACCTTATCACACCCACCCCACTGTACCCAGCAGGGTGATTCCAGTGGATGTCCTGTAACTCCATTACCCGGAATGCAGTAGCGGGTAAATGCTACTCCAGGGGTGGGTCACATCCAGACAGTGGAGGTCCTGGGGAGCCTGCGGGATGTAAGCCCAGAGAAATAGGGTCTTCCTTCCCACATGCATCTGTGGTGATGAGTGGGCACGAGCAACTAACTTCCAGGCCCTCAGTGAGCCAAGGGTCCACTGTTGACTCACCTAAAGGACTCAGGCTATTGGCTCCAGGTACAGCCTCCCCAACCCTCTGGTGGGGTCAGTGTGGTCACTCACAGCTTGTTAGAAATTTGACCATAAATAGAGCCAAGTAGAGGGACTGGAGAGATGGTTCAGTGGTTAAGAGCACTGACTGCTTTTCTAGAGGTCCTGAGTTCAATTCCCAGCAACCACATGGTGACTCACAACTGTTTATAATGGGATCCAGTGCCCTCTTCTGTCATGCAGGTATACATGCAAGTAGAGCACTCATGTACGTAAAATATATTAAAAAAAAAATAAAAAAAGAGGGGAGCTGGAGAGATGGCTCGGTGATTAAGAACACTGATTGCTCTTCCAGAGGACCTGGGTTCAATTCCCAGCACCCACATGGCAGCTAACAACTGTCTGTAATTCCAGTTTCAGGGGATTTGAAACCCTTACACCAATGTCCATAAAATTAAGTAAATTATTTTTTTTTAAAAAAAAAGGGAAAAAAAGAGAGAACCAAGTAGGGATCCTTACCCTAAACCCTCCCTGGGCTCCTCCATCGGCCTATGACCCTTTCCAGCACAGGTCTTCATTCCCACTGCAGATATCACGGTCTGTGCTGAGTCCCTGCCCCTCACAGAGGTAGCATTCTGGCTATGTTGGCCCTTGTAGGGAAGAACAAAGGTCCCTGGCAGCCCCACGGCTGTGCATAGGAAGCACTTAGGACTCCCCACCGCCACTTCTCTGCAGAGAACATCTCCCAGAACATCCACTGAAACAGAAGGATCGCATCAAAAGTGACTTCTCAGTATTGCTGCGCAGTGAAGATTGATGTGTGCCAGAAATGGTGGCTTGTGCCTGTGATCCCAGCACATGGGGCATAAGGTCCCACTGGGGCTGCGGAGTGAAACCCTGTCTCAGAAACACCAAAACAAATGACAGAACACAGGGCAGGTGGTTTGTAGCAATTTGTGTCAGCCCTGCCCCCCAGCCTGTTTTCTTCTGTAGGCTAATGTCACCCCCTTCACCAGTTCCTCATTAGAGTTCAGAGCGGCCCTTGTGAAAACTCAAAATTGTCTTTCTCACTTCAGACCTCTTTGTCTTTTGTGGACCCTTTCCATGGTGGGGCAGCGCCGTGTCTGCCAGCCCCGCAGACTCCCATGGCCTCTGCCCATATCACAGCAGACAAAATAGCCCAAGCACAGGTGGGGATAACAAATATTTGTTCAGCTTTTCTCCTCAGCTCAGACCCAAACCTCATCCTGTCCCTTCTGATGCGCCAAGCAAGACTTCTCAAAAATTGGTAAATATTTTGGGTGGGAAGTTTTGGCACCATGATATGATCCAGTACCTCAGATTTTTATCTCCTAGACTGTGCTGCTATACTGTGCTCTGATCTACCGATGTGCCTGCAGTGTCCTGGGCACCAAGGCTACCAGAACAAGTCAGCGGGAGAATAGAGGTGTGAGCGGAAGGGATTCCTTTCTTCTGACAGTTGAAAGTTTGAGTCAGGCAATCTGATTTCTCTCTCCTCTCTGTCCCTACATAGTCTTTACTTTGTTGGTAAACTGTGGGCAAAAAGAGATGAGATCCCTGGTGACTTCTTGGTGTCCCTGCCTGGGACAATGTCCCTCACCTAGTTCCCGACAGAAGGACTCCCAGAAGCCTGGCAGTAAGAACGACCAGTGCTGTCCAGGGCAAAAAAGGACAATGACGGTGTGTGGGTGCCCATGTTGGTGCACGGTGGTGTGGGAACGACCTGGGTTGCAGCGGGTAATGGCTGGGGTGGGGCAACTGCCCTGACCACAAACCTTTAGTCTTTGTTCTCTAGTTGTCTTTTTTGGGGAGGTGTTTTTCCTGTATTTATCTCTCATCTGCAGAACTGCGTTTTCTAAGTACAGCGATGAATTGTGTCAATAGAGCTCAGAGTTTGATGGGGCAAGCACATGCTCTCTCTTGGGTGCAATTTTTTTTTTTAATTTTTCCCCCCTTTTACAGCACGATGTTTCACTCTATAGCCCAGACTGATTTGTCTGGAACTGATGATCCCCTTGCCTTAGCCTTCTAAATACACCAGAGCCCGGTCCTGATATTTGATATTCTCCTTAATCAAATTTCTAGGGACCCTGCACTCCAGACCTCTTGACTGTCCTTTTGTATCAGTCCCTTGAATGGATAGTCACCCCTCTTTGATTATTGAGATCCAGTGTGTTATTCAAGCCCGACTTTGGGAAGGAATGGCTCAGGGGATCCCTAAAAAGCAAGCCAAGAAAGGCAAAGGCACTTCCCTGATCTTTAGTCTCTGGGTGTGCTGACTTTCTGTGCTGGGAGACAAACAGCCTCGAAAACCTGAAAAATAGAAAAATTAAAGAAATTCTTCCAGGGTGGGGCTGGCCACTGAGTAATTTTTTTTTTAGCAGAGTGTGCTGTGGTAAACCATGGAGTTCGTGTTGTTTTTGCCGAAGTCAGTGCTGTGTGTGGTTTCGGTACACCGCTCGGGTGGCTGTTGAAACTGCTGTGGTTTCCACATACGACCTACTGTGCTTCTTGAGTCCCCTCAGCTAGTGCAGGGGCCGGAGGGCATGGCCGGGGGTACCGTGCCCGCTGTGGCATCAGTTACCACGCACCACCCCGTTAAATTTTCATGTAACGTTTTTATTGTCATTTGTTTTTTTTTTTTTTTTTTTTTTTTTTTTTGGGAGGGTGGCAGGGACAAGGAGGTCGTCTCATTCCCCCTGCCGAGTTTTCCAGTTACGAACTCTGTTTTTATTTCTTCCCTTTGTTTTGGTTTTCTACATTTATTTGCTTGTGTGTGCACTTTGGTCAGTGGCACACAGGTGAGACTCAGGGCAACTGTCAGGCCAGTTCTTCCATTATGTTAGTTTGAGGATTGAACCCAGATGTCAAGCTTGGGAACAAGCAACTTTGTATGATGAACCATCTTGCCAGTTTTGTCTTTGAGACATGGCCTCTGTCTTTTTTAGTTTCTTTCTGATCCCTTCTCCGCAGCCATTTCTCCATACTCATGTCCCGAGAGCCAAAAGCGCTGTGACCTTGCTTCCTACTGCTGGGGTAGACAGAGTGACTTTGTCGCACTCAGGATCAGCTTCACCTCGAAAATTAGGGAAAGCGATGAAGGAGTTAGCAGAAGTGGTTACATAAAAGCAGGAACTAGACCCAGCCTTGAAACAATACAGCCACCAAAAGTAACTCAGTACCAAGTAGGAAGCCACGGCCAGGGTCTTCCATCATTGCTCAAGCTGTGGGCACAATCCAGGGCCACACCAACCTGCTGCAAGTGGCAGGGACCTGCAGCACCTGCACACCAGCACCCAAAACACAGGCACCTAAGAGAAAACCGTCTCCCTCCTGAAAACAAGAGGCAGCAGTTGCTCCTGGCGGGTTTCATGAGCACAGTCGCGATTTCTAAATAACGGTTTCAGCTGCAGCGAGTCTTGGTGTGAAAGGCTCTTTTCATCTCTGGTCGCCTCTCTGCTCTCAGAAGCCTCAACCTCAGTTGACTGCAACTGGCTAGGCTCCTGACTGCCTTCCCACCAAAACAGTTTTTTGCGTTCTTTTAATCCCCAAACCAGGGGAGAGAGAGCTCTTCATCAGATAGCTGAAGAGTGGTCCAGGAGTGGCTCGTCGCCTCCTTTCCCTGCCCGGCCTCAGCACACTCTGCAAGAAATGTCTTGCTCTTAAATTCTTATTCATTGCTTTTGAGACGGATTCTCATATAGTCCAGGCTAGCCTTAGACTCTGGTAGCTAATGTTGAACTCCTGGTCCTCCTGCCTCAGCCCTCAGCCGCTGTACTGGAATCAAAGGTGTGGCTGACCACGCCTAGTTCTTAGTGGGTAGGGAATGAAACCCAGGGCTGAACAAGTGCCCCACCCTTGTTTTTATTTGAGATGGGGCTGGCTAAGTAATACAGTCTAGCTTCAAAGCTCATAATCCTTCCTCAGCCTCCCAAGTATAGGATGACAGTCTACATAACACGGTCAAGGCCAGCCTGGGTTACATGAGACCATTTCTCAAAAAACAGCCGTTTTAACAATAGTGACCAGCTCTTCATAGCTGGGGGTCAGGACTTCTAGCCATGAACTTGATGGAGGGATATGGAGACAGGCTGAGCAGGCAGCAAGGCTGTGTGGGAGATCCCGGGGGCCAGCTTGTTCAGTCCCTAGCCTAGGACCTTGCCCAGTACTAGGCCTGCACAGGCATGAGTTAGTGTGTATTTATGCATGGTGGGGGTGGGTTTCAGAAACTAAAGTGGCATAAGATAGCATCTAATTTGAGAGTGCCCAGGTTTGGGATCATTGCAGAAGGCTGAGAGGAGAGTCGGTGTGGTTCTGGGGCTTTTCTGGTACTCCAATACCTAGGGAACTCAGATCTTGTGCTATAATGAGCCACATTTCATCAAAGGCCCACAGCCCACCCTCCCTCCCAACTCCTGATTGGGCACTGAGGATAGGGAGCAAGGTCCAGACTCAGGGGTGGAGGTTCCAGCCTTCGAGAAGAGAATGAGAAAGCACACAGTGACTTGACCACCAGGTGTGACAGGGAGGCATCTGAACCAACAAGTGGGCACTGGAACAGCCTCCACAATATGACCTTGCATGTGGATGGGCTGTGCAGATGAGGCTAAGTGCATTATGGGCTGATGGAGGGGTTTGTTTAGGGTGGAAGTTACAGAGACAATGACCAGAGAGGGTCCCCAGACGAGGACAGGGATCTCTCCTATGTCACACACTCTTTGCCTGGGTGAGGCTCCCAGACCACAGGATGAAGCAAGGCCCAGGACAACAGTTGGACCCTGGGTCAGTACCAAAAGTGTGCTGGAGCCTTGTGAGCCTCCCCAGCCTTTCTGACTGCCGTTTCGTTCATGCCTGTTGGGTAGGCTTGCAGGGATATTTGGAGTGGGAGAGAGATAGGCTTTAATAAGCCACAGGGGTCAGAACCTCTGTGGAATGAGATGTGTACCATCCTTCTGACAGGGGCTCCAGGTTTGTGACAATGACCTGGGCAGAAACCTAAAGGGAGGTTAGGTGTAGTGGTGTGTGCCTTTGATCCCAACAGTCAGGAGGTAGATTCCAGGCTAGCCTGATCTACACGATAAGACCCTACTTTTTTTTTTTGCTTTGCTTTTTCGAGACAGGGTTTGTGTTGCTTTGGAGCCTGTCCTGGAACTAGCTCTTGTAGACCAGGCTGGCCTGGAACTCAGATTCGCCTGCCTCTACCTGAGTGCTGAGATTAAAGGCGTGTGCCACCACCGCCCAGCTATCTTTTTTTTTAAGGGGGGGAGGAGCAGCATCCTGAAGGAACAGTACAGTGGTGCTCATTGGACTCCTCCCATGGCCATGTACCTGCTGTGCCCTCCTATCACCAGGTTCCACTCCAGATGTGTCTTGTGAGTGTGTGAATTATAGCAGTATAGCAACTGCAAGAACCCTTGCCTACCCTGTCAGGTTCTTATCTCATGGTGGTGGCACCAGGTCACTATTGTGTGAAACTTATTTCTCATGGTGCCGCACCTCTAGCGTAAACTAAGCTGAGAGACAACCTGGTTCCAATTATTGTACTTTACAGCTGTCTGGGCCCAGGCTGCCATTGATGCTTTCAGAAGAGAAGTGCAGCCAGGGCTCCATCGAGTGCAAGAATCAGCTCCCGAGTATCATCCTGACAGCACCCCAGTCTCTCCTTCCTGCCCACGCATGAGGAGAGAACTTTTCCTTCATGAACCCCAGAGCAGAGAGTGGAAGGTGTGAATTGAGTTTGGAGCCCTAGATAGCTGGAATAAGGTGGGAGGTGGCTCAATGGTCTAGGGGGAACAGAACACAATGCTAGGACTTTTTACTTGCATTTGTAAATTTGCTGGGGGGATGAATGCCGTGGCACGTATGTAAGTCAAAATATCTTACAAAGCTGTCTGTCCCTTCCATGTTGGTTCCTGGGGTGGCTTAGGTCATCAGGCTTGGTGATACGTGTTGCTTTAGAAATCTTGCTAGCCAGACTGCTGTCAGGCTGTGCACTGTTCTGACAGGCAGGTGGCCAGGGCCGACTGTTCTACTTTCTTTCTGAATGATGATTTTTGAAACCATGAGAGCCGGTGTGGGTAGTTCATTAACACCAGGGAGCTGTGCTGACCTGGCCCTTGGGACTGATGTCTCAGCCATGTCAGATGTCCGGATCCTGTGCTCAGGCAGAGGTGCAACATCAGGATGCAGGAGTACCTGCCTGACTTGGAAGTGTGTGGTTGGTATTTGTCACTTGTAATTATGCCCTGTGCTCTGCTCTGCCTGTGACCTTGTCACCGGGGAATCCTCCCTGCCCTCTCTTGCTGTCCTTAGATATTTTTACTGTGTCTCTGCTCAGCTGTGATGGGAAGGTGTGATGGGCTGGGCTAAAGTGAGTCACGTGCAAACAGCCTGCCTGTCTCATCCTAGGTATTCTCTGAATGGAATAGTAACTGTAGGGAAGTGTGGGCCAGTGACACCTCAGAACCAGGACCTTGGTACTGGGAACCAAACTTGAGTTCTAATGTGTGTTTTTAACTACTAAAGACAAGTTCAATTTTAGCTGCTGGTGGGTCTGTGTGTTTATGTACCTGAAGTGATCTTGGGCCAGGTGTGGTGGCACATACCTGCCATCCTAATCTCTTGGTAGGGTGAAGCAGGAAGATGAGTTCAAAGCCCAGCCTGGGCTGCGTGAGAAGACCCTGTCTCAAAAATAACTTTAAAGCAATTAAATCATTCTTCTGGCACTGCTCACTACCCTGTTCCTCTGTTTGGGGTTGTTATCAACTGTAACTCCATGCTGTAACAAGTATAGAGTGGGCATAGGGTCGTGGATTCCAGACCCCCACTCCCCCAAAAATTAGAGTCCCCAGGGCCACTGCTCTCCCCAGAGAGACAGCCAAGAGCCCCACTCTGCCCTCCACCCGATCGTAGTGAGTAACTTGTGTTTCTTTTTTTTGTTTTGTTTTTTTGTTTTTGTTTTGTTTTGTTTTTCCCCTAAACTTTCCAGGTCAGAGTACACCTGTAAGCCAGCTTGGTTCTTCAGCCTTCCCCGAGTCCCCCGATCCATTCCAGCCACTCGGGGCTGACAGCGGCGACCCGTTCCAAAATAAAAAGGGGTTTGGGGACCCATTTAGTGGCAAAGATCCATTTGCCCCCTCCTCTTCATCTAAACCTCCTAAGGCCTCTTCCTCCGGCTTTGCCGACTTCACCTCTGTAAGTTGAGTCCTCCCTCGGCTGCCTTCCTGCCTGGCTTGCTGCTTCTTGGGGGTGGGGGTCCCTCTGCAGCTACAGACACTGCTCCTCCTGCTGCTGGCACCTCCCACCATCCATCTACTACTTTTGTTATTTATTTTGCACTGGCCTCTGTAAGAAAAATAGGTTGTCGATAAAGATAAGAGCGACAGTTTAATGGACTGCAGGAGGATGAACTTTCTCCTGGGAGAGTGGCACAGAGTGTGCCTGCTCTGTGCTCAGTGACTGATCTTTGTCCCTCAGAGGATATTGTGTTCACTGGGTTTCTGTTTGAGACATGGTCCCTATGTAGCAGAGGCTGGCCTGGAACTCAGAGTCCACTTACCTCTTCCTTCCAAGTGTTGAGACTAAGGTGTGTGCCACCGTGCTGGTCCAGTGAGTTTTGGAGATTGAGCGTGCAGGCACTTCCCAAGACTGACTGTGAACATTTCATCAGGAAAGGACTCTGAGTGCCAGGATCCTGCCTAAGCACATCGTGCATGTAGGAGAAGTCCAGGCAGGGCATCTGACAACGAGAGATTCGGTTACTTTCTGTTCTGTTTTGGTTTTTTCCCAATTTCTGTTTGATTTATTAGCTACAATGAGAAAGAATCCAACCTAGACGACCGCCCTGGAACCTCTTCTCTCTTTCAAGGGTTCAGAGAGGCCACTTTCGCAGACCAGGGTCTTCTTGGAATCAGCCTGGGCTCTCATCATTGCTGCCCTGTTGTCTGTTTAGAGCCAGCCCCGGCTCCTTCAGGGCGTTCTCAGCACATCTACCACCTCAGGGCAGCCTGTGTTCTGAGTGTACTGTCTTCCCATAATCTATGTCACTCTTTTCCCAGAAGTGTTCCTTTGTAAAGGTTTGTGAGTTCCTCGCTGGGTCGTCTTGGGAGACATTGGGATCACTGCTCTGCTTACTCATTTCTTACTGTTCTTCGAGATAAGCCCAGACTGCAGTTTGTAGCCTAGAATGACCGTCGTGAACTACTGATCCTCATGCCTCCAAATAGACCTGGAGGGCTGAAGTGTGGCTCGGTTGTGAGAGACTGGCAGAGCCTTATATGACCCTAGGTTCCATTCCCAGTATAAAAAACAAACAAAAACTCAAAGCACTTGTATCAGGGCATAGTAAATACCCAGGTGCTCTCCAGCCGTTAGTGACATCCATGGAATGTGGCTGTATTGTGGCTTTATTTGAATTACATAGGCAGAGCTGGGCCCAATGGCACTTACCTCTTATCCTGGTCCTGGGAAGCTGAGGCAGGAGGATCTCGGGTTGAGGCCAGCCTGAGGTACATGGGGAGATGATGTCTAAAAATAGTAATAATAATAATACATTGACCCTGGCCTTCTTGTGGCCTCTGGGGAGCTGTGACTTTTCCAAGTTGACTTTTTCGTCTCTATTGGCAGCACACACATTGTGCCTTTAGAAAGGCATCATCATTGGTAAGAGCCAGAGACAGAAGGCCTTTAGGTTTTGGATAGCACCAGGTATTGTGGAAACTATTAACCAACAAGGCCACGACTGGTGCTGAGCCCAGCTCCATACCAGCTCTCTTATCTCAGCACGGGGCAGGTAAAAGCAGGAGAATCAGGAGTTCCAGGTCAACCTGGGCTACAAAAATAAAATAGTCCGTTTAAAAAAAAATAAACAAACAGGGCACAGCTGTTGCCACGTGACTCCAGTGCTCGGTTTGGGCAGGGAAGAGTGGTGGTGGAGCTGAACCACAGTGTAGAGAAATGACTGTGGCCTTTCTGAAAAGCCAGTTCACTTCCTGTGCCCGCACCGGCGGAGCACTCCGTTCCTCTGCACAGTTTCTTGTAAACACCAGGTTCCGAGCTGTGCCGGGGCTAACGACTCCGTTGTCCCAGAGTGCTTACTGGCTTCAGGTTTATTTTTCAAGTTTATCAGTTGTTGTTTGAGTCTCGTCTAGCTTAGCCTCAAACTCTTAGCTTCTGGGTGCTGGGATGTTGGGTCCTGTACATCCCAGTAAAAAATTAACTTTTTATTTAAACACCCTCATCTCCAGATGGGAAACCAAATCCCGCCTGCCCTGCCCTGCCCTTGCCTGACCTGTGTTCCCATCAGCACAGTGTGGTCCCCACCTGTGGCAGGGGCCCTCTCTGAACCTGCTTTCCAGGCCGTTGGGGCTTCAGTACTGTGCAGGCTCAGGAAAGGCTGTAGTCATCTGTGGAAAACAGCTTGATGGGGTAGACTTCTGGAAGCTGATGTCACTCATGCAGGCCAGCCGTGCTATCCTTGGCACCTGCTGTGACACCCCAGAGCTTTCTAGTGGTAAGCCATTTTCCTCAGTAACTCTTCATCTTAATGGAAGCTGCTGCTTTCCCCCCACCCCAAGACAGGACTTTTCTGTATAGCCATGACTGTCTTGGAACTCACTCTGTAGACCAGGCTGGCCTCAAACACACAGAGATTCACCTGCATCTGCCTTCCAGGTGCTAGGATTAAAGGCGTGCACCACCACCGCCTAGCTTTAATGGAAGCTTCTTTTCTTGGGCTCTGGCTGTAGCTCAGTGGGTGGCACTCATGAAGCCCAGGGCTCCATCTCCAGCACCCAGTAGTTGAGGAGTTAAAGATCATCCTCAGCTGGTTCAAGTCCAGTCTGGGCTATAAGAGACCCTATCTCAAAAAAGGACTTGGTAGCCAGTACCTTTAATCCCAGCACTTAGGGAGACAGATCTCTGAGTTGAGGGAAACCTTGGCTGTATAGAGAGAACTTCTCTTTAAAACAACAAAAAAGTTTCTTTACATTCTGGCAAGCAGGGCACGGTGGTGCCTATCAGAGGCCCAGGGAATTCAAGGCCAGTGTGGGTTGCCTGAGTCCCTGCCCTAGGAAACAGGCACAAACAGCCATTCTGCCTCAGGCCTCGCGTGTATTTCTTAGAAGCAGCTAGGGGTGCAAATCTAGCAGAACAGCTGACAGCCTGCACAGCTTCCCTAAGAGCCAGGCAAACATCAGATTGACTTCTCTGGGCCTCGCAAAGGCATCCATGAACAGGCTGAGAAGTGGAGGCAGAGCCTGTCTGTACGTTCCATGCAGACAGATTTCGAGGGGCTTCAGAAATAAAAGCTTCTTGACCAAATTCACAATGATGATGGTGTCTGAGAAAGGGGACTCCTTGCAGCTGACAGTACAGAAGGGAAGCGGCACCCAAGCTGCTGCTCAAGGGGCGCCTAAGACACCCCAGACTCAGGTCACCCCTATGTGACCCAGGAGAACCAGAAATGGCTTAGTCTAAGCATCTCCAATCAGAACTAGTCAGTACTACTGAGAAAATACCCTTGCTAGAAACTTCTCTCCACCTAAGTGCGTGAGGCAGATCTGTATGGGGTTCTTTCTCTTGGCCTCTAGCTCAGAGGCACCCCAATTTGTGGGATGAGTGAGGTGCAGTAGAGGCAGGGGCTTGCTCATCTGGGCTGTGGAGGATGAAGCCCTTCTTTCTGTGGCCCATCTTCCCTTATTTTGCTCCCCATGAAGTTTTGGGGAAGTTCCCTAAGACAGTGAGGGAGAACAGATGAGGGGATCCAACCTCCAAGAAATTTCTTAGACTCTTGCCCCAACCTGAGCCCTGGTGAGGGTTCCTGGGCTCCACCCCTTCCCTAGGAGGCCACACTCCCACCACCAGCATAGTTGAGTAATACTCCAGTAGGCGCCTTGTCACTGGCTAGGAAGTCACAGACCTGTTCTGGGACTGTTAGGTTCCTTGTGACCCCCATATCTCCCACCTAGAATCTCCAAGGTCCCCAAGCCACTGTCCGTGTCAGTTACTGGTGACAACGTACAGACAATTCATTCTGAGGGCCCAGTGCCCTGGTGAAGCAGCTGCCTGTGTTCCTCTCCACTGCCCTTCCCTCCTTCCCAAGGAGGTTGTGTTTCATCCCTTGTCTACTGATGTCTGTCTGTTCTCAAGGACAGATATCCACATTCACTAGAGGAGATGGTGATTAGGGGACTATTGAGGTCCCTATACAGTCAATGGACTGGCTCCCTGGGCACTTGAGGCTCCAACCTAAGGAGGATGGAAACTTTGACAACCAGTTGGGGTAGCTGAGGCAGGAGGATTGGCCAGCCTGGTCTCCATAAGGAGAACCTGTCTCAAAAGGAGAGAGAAAGCTGGAGGATGTGCCTACAGAGTTGGTAGGCCTGCTTGCTAGAACTTCCAGCACCAGGCCAGACTGCCTGTCTCTGCAGGGGTGGGTGTCTGGTCCTCCAGTTGGCATCTCAGGTTGGATGCACCTTGCTTCTTTGTACATGGGGTGAGGTCAGGGGGTCCCAGCATGGTCTCTGATTTTTACCTGCCCAAGGGCCCCTCCGCCCACATTCTGGCCCCCCTCTCACTGTCCCAATCTTTTTTTATAGTTTGGCAATGAGGAACAGCAGCTGGCCTGGGCCAAGAGGGAGAGTGAGAAAGCGGAGCAGGAGCGGCTGGCGAGACTCCGGCGTCAGGAACAAGAGGACCTGGAGCTGGCCATCGCCCTCAGCAAGGCTGACATGCCGGCTTAGGCGGTGCAGGGAGGCCACTGCTGTCTATACGTACACCCATGCTCAGCACGCGCCCCGCTTCAAGCCGTGCTATGCCACAGCCACCACAGACAAGGACAAGCTGGCCGCAGAGCCTTGGGCTTTGGGGCCTTGTTCAGAGGCAGTAGATGCAGCTTACCCCTGTGGTTGGGCCAGGAGGGCAGCTGACAAAAGGCCTGGAAGCTGAGGGTCTTTCTGTGGTGTGATGGCCATCAGTCAGGCTTCACCTTCCAGATTATTCAAAGGTAGAGGAGGCCTCCATTCTCCTGACTGCAGACAGGCCCCACCCCTAGGCCCTCCCCACATCCACAAGACACCCCTCCACACACACACATGATGTATGCATTCGTTGTATAAAAATGAAGTTTGAATGATTAATATAAAATATTTTAATACAAAACATGAAGCTATCTTGTTTTCAATCTAGGAGCGTGGGTCAGTGACTCCCTGGTAGTCTGAGGGAGGACCAGGTGCTCCTGCAGCAGGGTAAAGAGAAGCACTAAATTGTTAGCTTGTGCATGGTGCCTGTAGGTGCTGGCAGAGGCCAAAGGGGCTGTCGTATCCCTTGGAACTGGAGATACAGGAGTTGGGAACTATACAGTGTGTGTGCTGGGTACCCATGGGGGTCGGAAGAAAGCGCCAGAGCCCCTGGAACTGGAGTTACAGAATCACCATGTGGATGCTGGCAACTGCAGACACTAATCTTTGAAGGCAGTTTATGATCACAGATAATCCAATTTGACTTATCCTTTTTCCAAAATATATTCTTCTCCCTCTGCAGGAGACAAGTGCTTTTGAAATGCAGTTTGCTGGCACACCCTGGGACAGAGACAAAGGCAGGCAAGGGCAGTTGGTCAGCTTGTTCTACATGAGTTCCAGTACAGCCAGGGCTGTGTAAAAAGACCATGTCTCAAAGAAAGTGATGCAGGTCAGACACCTGAATCAGAAATACTTCTAGATATGCAGCTTTCTGAGTGAAGACAAAACATAGACACTCACACAGCCTTCTATCGATGGGGCAGGTGGAAATGCTGCCTGGCGTGTGAAGGGCCTCTGGCCATGGTGGGAGATGGCCTGTTTCCCTAGAGCTCACACTTTATTTCGTGTGTTTAGAGTCTGACTTAGGGATGGAGTGGGGAGCTGGATAGATGCCTGCTGCTCTTGCAGAGAACTCAAGTTTCGTTCCCAGCACCCACATCAGACAGTTCAGCTACAAGGATCCCTGGCTCCAGGGGACCCACTACCCCCTCTGGCTTCCATGGGCACACGGGCACACACATACACACACATAGTGGTGTTACATGCCTTTGACCCTACTGCTTGGAAAGCAGAGGCACAAGTAGGCAGATCTGAGTTTGGGCCACCCTGGGCTATGTAGTGACTTCAAGGTTGCCAGGGCCGCATAACCAGACTGTTTCGAAATAAATAAGGGTCTAGAGAGACGGGTTAAGAGCACTGGCTATTCTTGCAAAGGACCCTGGCTTCATTTCCAGCACTCGCATGATGGCTCACAACCGTCTGTACCTCTGCTCTAAGGGAACCACCACCCTCTTCTGGCTTTGAGTACCAAGCACTTATGTGTTGCACATACATATGTGTAGACACACACTTACATATATGCAGACAAACCTGTTTGTTTGTTTGTTTGAGACAGAGTTGCTCTGTG